AAAGTTGTATTTCATTTAATGGTCTTAATACAGAGATTAACATTTCAAGGTGGAGCTTTTCATTTTTCATAATTTTATTTGACTTATCTATGTCTGTGTGCTGTCAATATTAATAGAAGCTGAAATTTGTGAATTTTTATGACTACTTTTTTTTTTTTTTTTTGTGAGACAGGGTCTTGCTCTGTTGCCCAGGCCTGGAGTGCAGTGGCATGATCATAGCTCACTGCAGTCTCAAATTCCTGTGCTCAAGCAATCATTTCAGCCCCCTGAGTAGCTCGCACTACAGACATGCCTCACCACGCCCGGCTGCTTTTTGTAGAGATGGGGTCTCACTACGTCGCCCAGGCTGGTTTCAAACTCCTGGCCTCAAGTGATCCTCCTGTCTCAGCCTGTGCTAGGATTACAGGCATCAGCCTCGATGCCCACCATATTTGTGCCTTTTTCCAAACTGTTATTTCTTTGTGCCTTTATTGTATCCTGTAAACATTTCTGAGACAGCAACAGTATCACTTGATTATACTTACTTTTTTACATAGTTGTTGTTTTGCCAGGTAGACTAAAAACCCTTCTAGAAGTTTGCTTTATTTTCTGTGATACCTAACACATTGTAGGTGTTTAATAAATATTCATTGACTAGATGAATGTATACTTAGGTATCTCGTTTGTTTTTCAGATTTAGCATGTAGACTGCTGGGGCAATCAATGGATGAAAGTGGATTACCACAGCTGACCAGTTATGATTGTGAAGTTAATGCTCCTATACAAGGCAGCAGAAACCTACTGCAGGGTGAAGAATTACTCAGAGCTTTGGATCAAGTTAACTGAGCTTTTTCATAATTTCATTCCTTTTTTTGGACACTGGTGGCTCATTACCTAAAGCAGTCTATTTATATTTTCTACATCTAATTTTAGAAGCCTGGCTACAATACTGCACAAACTTGGTTAGTTCAATTTTGATCCCCTTTCTACTTAATTTACATTAATGCTCTTTTTTAGTATGTTCTTTAATGCTGGATCACAGACAGCTTATTTTCTCAGTTTTTTGGTATTTAAACCATTGCATTGCAGTAGCATCATTTTAAAAAAATGCACCTTTTTATTTATTTATTTTTGGCTAGGGAGTTTATCCCTTTTTCGAATTATTTTTAAGAAGATGCCAATATAATTTTTGTAAGAAGGCAGTAACCTTTCATCATGATCATAGGCAGTTGAAAAATTTTTACACCTTTTTTTTTCACATTTTACATAAATAATAATGCTTTGCCAGCAGTACGTGGTAGCCACAATTGCACAATATATTTTCTTAAAAAATACCAGCAGTTACTCATGGAATATATTCTGCATTTATAAAACTAGTTTTTAAGAAGAAATTTTTTTTGGCCTATGAAATTGTTAAACCTGGAACATGACATTGTTAATCATATGATTCTTAAATGCTGTATGGTTTATTATTTAAATGGGTAAAGCCATTTACATGATATAGAAAGATATGCATATATCTAGAAGGTATGTGGCATTTATTTGGATAAAATTCTCAATTCAGAGAAATCATCTGATGTTTCTATAGTCACTTTGCCAGCTCAAAAGAAAACAATACCCTATGTAGTTGTGGAAGTTTATGCTAATATTGTGTAACTGATATTAAACCTAAATGTTCTGCCTACCCTGTTGGTATAGATATTTTGAGCAGACTGTAAACAAGAAAAAAAAAATCATGCATTCTTAGCAAAATTGCCTAGTATGTTAATTTGCTCAAAATACAATGTTTGATTTTATGCACTTTGTCGCTCTTAACATCCTTTTTTTATGTAGATTTCAATAATTGAATAATTTTAGAAGCATTATTTTAGGAATATATAGTTGTCACAGTAAATATCTTGTTTTTTCTATGTACATTGTACAAATTTTTCATTCCTTTTGCTCTTTGTGGTTGGATCTAACACTAACTGTACTGTTTTGTTACATCAAATAAACATCTTCTGTGGACCAGGCCCCTTTGATCAGCTTTTATGTTCAAATATAAATAATATTTGCTTCAACACCTCCAACTCATAAAATTGTTTACCAACAGTTTAAGCACTTTATGAAAATTACATGGTACTGGTTATTTCTACATTTGTCTTATTGCCATCACCTTAATGTATGTTGAGTCCCTAAATGTCATGTTAAATAATAACAACCATAATATCCCATTGAAAAGAGTATGTTATTAGAAAAGAAAGGTCATTTTTAAGTTTCTGAGCCTATTAAAATGTTCAAACACAAAATTTTAGTATTTTTAAAACATGCATGGGATGAGCGAAGCCGTTCTCAGCATTATAGTCACATAATGTTACAAAGGCTAGAGTTTCTCTGAAGATTTCTAATCTATTCCCATTAACAGATTAATAAATTTAGACCTCAAATGAAGAATTTGCCCAAGCTTTAAAAGCAATACATGGCAGACCAAAAATGTAAGCTTAAATTTCCTGACTCTAAAGTCAAACTTAGAACAAATTTGGTTTGTTTTTGTTTTAATGATACTGCATTTTAAAACAAAGTAGCTTTATCCTTTTTCTCCTGTATTTTTCTTTTACAAAATAGCTGTATTTTATACTCACAATCTCATTTTAAAAAATCAGACAGTGTAGAAAGATATATCGTAAAACCAAAAAATCATTATGAATCCCTGCACCTACAAGTACAGAAAATTATTTTTATGAACAAATTATGTAGGAAGTGCCAGAGCTTTATATCCTGTACCCTGAGGTATATATACTGAACAAAAGGAACTGAGCCACAGATATCTTAGGTGGCTGTTTTTATCTTAGAATGGAGGACAGTGATTACAATTATATGAAAATTTTGGAACAAAAGTTAACAATACTAAGATTCAGTGCAAAATTGCGGGGGAGGGGCACATGTATATTTAACCACAAATACTGTGACCCAAAGTGCTTCAACATTTAGTTACAGATAGTAGTACACTAGAAGTGGTATTTTAGAATAAAGTAGTTGCTTACTATTCACAGGTCACAAAACAAAAAATTATGCTTATGTAGCAGATTAGCTTCAGTTGAAAACTATTTGTAAATCAGTAGATTAATGACCAGCAGTTCAGGAAAATGACTTCTGAAAGCATTGAGAAGGGAAAGCCACGTTAAAGGACAGTACAGCAGGAAGGAAGCAAGTACTTACCTACTGCTCAGTCACTCAGAAAACAAGCTACTTGGAGTGCTTTAAGCTACAGAATAGAAGAACTAGCCCTTCCCAATTTTATGGACTGTCACAAATTTCTTCATAATGGTTTTATTCAAGGCTTATAACCCAACCCTGGCAACTATAATTCTGGAATAGTTGTTCTCTCCTTAATATTCCTCTCCCCTCCCTATTTTACAAAACAACTGTATTTTTTTTATACTCACAACCCAGAAAATGAGAATGTATATTCTGAGTATAAAAGAAATGTAGCTATTTCATTAAAATACAGGAGAAAAAGAATAAAGCTATTTCAATTTTTGTAATGCAGTATCATTAAAAACAAGTTTGTTCTAAGTTTGACTTTAGAGTCAGGAGACTTAAGCTTACATTTTTGGTTTGCCATCTATTACTCCTAGAGCTTGGGTACATCATTCTTCATTTGAGGTCTAAATGCTATATATAGTTCATTCATAGCAGTACCAGATAAGGGAGGAGTATATCTATAGAGTATATAGTCTTGAAGAAGTGATCTAAGGTTCAGAGCTTTTGAGGTGGCCATCAGTGACTCCAAAGCCCATGGAGCTAACCACCCTGCAGTGCTAGCCAATCTAGTTGAACATACGCTTTTCTCCATTATTAACTGTGTTTAAATAGCAAACAGAAGGCAGCAATGGAGGTGTGGAAAACTGAGGGTCCGATGTCACTTGAAAGTAATGAGATCACATAACACATTGAGGGAATGTCCTAAGAGGAGGGGCAGGGCATAAGTAGAAATGAATGAAAGTTTTCAAGTGCTATTTAGTGGGTTCTGAATTCGAACTAGAGATTGAGATCTCCAGTTATGGAGACATTAACTCACATTAACGAGGTAATGAATGGGAAAGCACAAACTATAAAAGACTATTAATGTATGGTATGTTTTTCCCAGAGCTGTTTTGACTTAATGGCATAATAGATACAAGTTTTTATAACCTCACGATTACCATTCCAAATCTTGATTTCCTCCTAGAAACCTCTGTACAGAAAAGATGAACTTAAAATTACTCGCTTTGTAGAAACTCAATCTAAAAGTTAAAAATTTTCAAGTAGCAATACCTAAAACAAGTTGCAGAGTAAAGAATCCTTTTTTCTTTTTTTTCAACATTAAGATCTGGTTAAAACCTTTGCAAACGTGTTGCTAGCTGGAATCAACAAAAATGTAAAGAAGAAAAACTTTTACTTTTTTTTTTTAAGTTTTCCACTAACCACTTGGCTCGTATTCAGTTCCTTTAAATAGAGGTGAACCTGTCGTCCCAGATCATTTTACAGAGAATTAGTGAAATCAGTGGAATTCGATACGACATAGTCTCCCTGTAGGATAAAAGTTATACTTTACCATAAACCTTCCTATGAACGCGTTCTGGAGATCTGATGTGTTCACACCTTTCAGAGGTTTGGACATCATTTTTTATTCTTACCTGTAGTGGATGGTTTTTCCAAGACGCTGCCCAGACACCCGATCTCCGTGTACTATTGAATTTCCTTTATTCCCTTGTCTTGGCTCCATTCTGGGACGGAGAGGAAAGACAGGTGCCTGAGAGCGGCAGCGGTCAGAGTCCTGCGGGGAAAATACCAAGCATGCGGAAGGGAACCGGCACCCTTCTGTTCCTGGTGCGGCTGGCGCTACATGATGAGGATGCGAAACCCCAGCCAACCCGAGAAAATTCCCGAGCCCCGCCTGGCGCGCGGCAGGCCACGCCTCAGTACGTGCTTGGGCGCAGCACCGCAGTCCGGGCCCCCGCCCTCGGCTCCGACCCCGGGCTCCGGGGCTCCAGCGGCACAAGGTGGCTGCGTGTGTGCGGTGGGGTGGCTGCTGCCAGCTCCGCGTACGTGTGGGAGAGCATGCCGGAGGCCCTGGCCGCTGGTGGCCTACGAACGGGCGGCGCTAGGCGCGGGGGGTCAGCCCTGGGCTTTGTCTTCTGGGACTTGTCAAAGTCGGAAGCCTAGTACTTCCCCAAACTTTGTTTTTTAGATGGGGGGGGCGAGGGCGAATGGGACTTGGTGTGTTGCAGAGCTCTCTCCCGAAATTCCCAAGCAAATGCTTTGGGGTATGAGATTTTTTCTTTATAGAATAGAAAAAGTTGAGTTCTAACAGATTGAACCGTGATTAGCTATATAATACTTTTTTTAAAAAATTAGACATCTAGTCAAAAATAGAGGAGTTCTGTGTTTATTTAAATATATTCCTCTTAAGGCATTCAAAGAGTTCGTTTGTTTTAAATAAAGCACGTTGGGATATGCCTAGTTAAGGATCTGGAAACTTTAGCTATCCCACTTGGTGCTGTTTTTATTTTGGGGTTTTTAGAGGTGGGGGTTGGCCTTTTTACTTTTTTGATTTTATCATATGCCAACTATTGAGAATCCTTTGGGAGAAGATAATCTTGTTGGACAGAAGGGAGGTGAGTGTATAGAAGAAGGAAAAAGCTTGGAGTCTTAATCTCTGTAATAATTGATATGTTCAGATTGCACAATGAATTGGAAAGTACAAAGCCAGGTATTGTTTAGAGTAAATAACTTCGCCTCTGCATATCCACAGCTCACTACATTTTGTATTTTATTTCCATTTGTTTCCTTCAGGAAAATTCATTGTTTATGAGTTTCCTCAAATAGAATTTCATAGAAAGCAAAGGCACACTTTTCAAAAGTAGTTGAGCTGTTTTAGATACTTTTTTTACTAATAAAAACTGATCTGTAGCCTCACTCATCATATGTGTGTGTGTTTGTGTCTAATTAGGGAGGTGCCCTTTAATGAGAATGCCGTAATTCTTTTGGTCCTACGGATGCGTAATCATTATAGATGGACGATTCTCCATAGAAGAGAGCAGGCTAGTGGGGCTGTAATACTTACCACAAAGGGTCATGCTTTTTACAAAGTAGAGAAACGCTGTGTGAAGCCAGACAAGTAGATTAGGATTCTGTGAAGTAAAATCTAATTTTAAAGATCTTTGAAATATTAACATTAAAAACCCTATTTTATGTAGAGATCCTTTCCAAATATGACTGGATAATGTTATTTGCTCTTTGAAATGGATTTTTAAAACAGTTCTACATACAACTGCTATGACAAAATCTTTCATAGGGGTACAGAAACAAGCTGGACAGAGGTCATTATAAACTGTTGCCTGACTCCCTAATCTGCTGGTAGAATATTAAAGCAAAAACCTAAAGAAAGCGACCTACAAATACGGAAAATTAGAAAGGAGCCAGTACAGCCTGGGAGGTACTTTGCATCAGCCTTTGCCTCTTACTTAGAGTTTTCCCAACTGCAAATATTTGTCACTCCTGTGAACTTCCTTATCATTTCCTCTTTAGCTTTCTCACTTCTCTCTTTTTTTTTTTTACCTTATAATTTTTGTGTGTCTTATCCCTCGTACTAAACTCTTAGTTTTTTCAGCGCATGGTTCCCATCTGACTCACCTTTGATTGGTCCTAAAACCTTCCACTCTGCATGCACAAAGACAACTCACATATGATCCAAGGTGAGAGAGGATGTCAGGTGACAGAGACTAGAGAAGAATTATGATCAGAGGAACAAAGTGGGGAACAGAACCATTTTCTAGCTCTTCCAGGGAGATCCATTCAATCAATGAATAGTGTTTAGTGAGTACAAGATATTATTCTAAGACCTCTAGGTGATATAAATATTCTAGAATATGGTGCCTCCTATCAAGAGTGCAGTTCTGTGAGGTACTCACAAATTCAACTGTACTTGTGCAAACACAGTTGAAATCTAAATAGAATTTTTATTGGCCCTTTGAGATGTTCCAAGCCA